TCACAGAATAAGTAATGAAAAATTCCGTGCTAGTGTTGCCACTTTTTTAAAATCGCTGACCCGGACGGCAGGTGAGGTTTGTTCAAACAGAAGTTCTTGACGCATGCGCATGTCATTTTGCAATGCGAAGAATAATTTGCAGTGCATGCTGGTTCTAAATCAGTTACAGTTAGCGACTGTAACTGATCACTGGTAGGGAGACTTGGATAGGAGTAACGCAAGTGGCCTAGCTCTATTGGATATTGAAGGTGTGTGTATATATATACAGTATATATATATATACGAATAAATCGTACAAGGAAAAAAAAAATCGACAGGTAGCGCACGACATCCCCGGACGGCGAGTCGATTCCCAGACTCCGGATGGTATTCCGTGCTCATTTCAATCGGTCCGAATCGTAGGTGCACGAAAATATGAAATAAAATGGTTCAAATTCTTACAAGATATTATTATTATTTATTGTGAAATTTTGCCGCCCCCACTACGCTACTGAGTGAGATGGCTGTTTTGCCTGTTTGTAGAAGAGAGTCACCATTTAGTATTTTATTTTGACTCGATTCTCGGTCCCCTGACTACCTACGAGTCTGAATTTTTTTATGCGCAAATGATTTTGGCACCTAATACTCTGTGCCAAATATCAACTCTCGACATGTACTCCTTCATACCTCAATGCTGGTAATAAAAAACGGCAGTACAATTTTATAAATAAGACATAGTCTTGTCAATAAAATCAAAATTAATTAATTAATTATAATTAAAATAAAACTTGAAATCAAATCAATTGAAACAGTATTTCGGAAAGTGTGGATAAAGTACTTGTCTGTCGTGATTGATTTGGCCGAACCCATAATGGGCTTGCTATTAGAGACCTTCTTAGTGCCCACAGGGCGGAAAGTGATAAAAAAAACACTTCTTTGTAAAGTGATGGTTTCGGTTGGTGACAGAACATCTTGTTTAAATTTATATATAGAATAGATAATCTATAGATATAGATAATATATTGCATTTGTAGGCATTTTTTATGTATGAAAGACAGTAAAAAGGGAATAATGGTTTTGTTTTGAAGGTCGGGAACGGATTAATTCATTTATATTATTTCTTATGGGTAAATTTGTTTCGGTTTTCGAACAACTTTTAGGAACGAATTAAGTTCGAAAACCAAGGTTTGATTGTATATAGATGAGATGTAAAATTTTAAAAATAAAGTTTGCAAGATTTTATTTCAGCACTGAACACCGATGAATTGATGAACATATGATATTTAAAATATAAATAAAAAATTTTTCAGGTACGATTTCGTTTAAAGAGTTCCTGACTATTATGGCTAACAAAATAACTTCAACAAGTAGTGATGAAGAATTAAAAAAAATGTTTCCATTATTCGACTTCGATAAAACAAAACAAATATCCTTAAACAATCTTCGATATGTAAGAGATGTTTTAGGAAAGGATGTTAGTGACGAGGAATTAAAGGTAAAAATTATAAAAATTTACACTTCCTTCTCAAAATTTTAGAGAATAAGCAATCAAATAATGAATATATAAGACAGAATCCGAAATTGGAACCTTGGACTATAAGTTTCTGTGCTTCCTATCGATAGTCATATATCAAATACTCGATGAGCGTTCGAATTTTATTTAGTTTTATAGGCCTGATCACAAGAGCTCGTGTCGGTTTACTAGTATAGAATAATTTCTTACTTTACATATTAATGTAAACAATCTCAAGAACATGTAATATGCATATTACAGTCAATGGGGAATTATTCTATACCCAAACTAAATGTTTAGTTGGCTGGATGGCCGAGCAGTTAAGGTGGCAGCCTATCACCATGGGGGTCTGATATCGAATTCGAGTAGGTCGGAAAACCCTAGGAATTTTTTGTGGGTGGTACGTCCGGTTAAGTTGGGTCCCGACCTTCGACACCCGGCTTCTCAATTGTGCATATGGCCGAGTCCATAATGGGCTTGCTAAAAAAACGTCCTTTTAGCGTCCACAAAGCGGAAAGAGTAAAACAAGAAAGATTAAATGCTTACTTGGACTCCCCAGCCAAATAGAAATGTATATTAGATTCCATTTAAAAAGTATTTAAGGATTCCAAAATTAACACTTACGGCTTCTATGTGTCACTTGTTACGGCAAGGAAGAACTGCGTGGCTATAATAAGATATTTGGTCATCGATGTCGACAATATTTGAATCGTATTGTACTTAAAAAATGGAAAATTACAATAGCTAAATGATCTTGTGAATTAGAGAAACCCATATTTACTATTATAGCAACAAGCGTGTGGAGTAAGGTGCTTGTTTTCTTTTTTTTAAACTATTTCCGCCTTGTGGACACTAAGAGGGCCTCTTTAAGCAAGCCTATTATGGGTTCGGCCAGGCCCAAAATGGGGCGCCCGGGTGGTGAGGGACGGGGCCCGACATATCCGGACGAACCACCCCCAAAAAATTCCTGAGGATTTTTCGACCCACTCGGATTCGATCCCTTAGAGCGGTAGGCTGCCACCTTAACCGCTCGACCATCCGCCCGTCGTCCGAAGGACGGGGTATCGTGTTTTTCCCCCTAGAGATTATGGCGTATGTCTTTTCCTCATTAGATTCGATTGTCAAATTCGGTGTTATAGAAACGATTGGTAGCTTGGATAAAAGTTTCTAGTGCTGTGATATGATGTCACTAATGTTTAAGAGCAAATATGTTGTTGCATTGGAGAACCTCCCGATATTATCCGGGACAGACCATCCATGTAAAGTTTCTGGGGTTGCTCGTCCGGATTCGATCTCGATTTCTCCAAAGTGGTAGACTGAGGCTTTTACCGCTTCGGCCTTTGGCCCATTACGGAAAATATACTGTATATACAGTAAGTATATTTAACGTTAATGGGCTAGTATTATTTTTACCATGGATATTAATAATTTATTAAATTAATATAGTTAAATATATTTTATTTTACAAATAGGTTACTAAATGTTTCTTTTTGTTAGGAAATGATAACAGCAGTAGACGCAAACAAAGATGGATTAGTGACAGAAGAAGAGTTTTTTTCTTTGATGAAAAGCACTGGTATAGAGCTATTAAAATAAACATTTATTCATAATCCAAAACTACGATTGCAAGAAAATCATTTATGATAATTAAAAGTTCATTATNATAAATTATTATTTAATCAATATAACAATATAAATAATTCAGTATATTTGTAATAGGAATTTATTATTTCAGGGGCTTATATCTCTCGAAGGGTCGCGAATAGGGGTATAACTCCTGTGACTTTATTGTTAATACAGGGGTGTACGGTTTGGGGGTCGAAACCTCTTCATTCGGAGGGTAAATCTTACCATTCGGATTTTAACAGAGCTGTAGAGCATATTGATAGGAACAAAAAAGTCAAAGGAACCGTGCCTGATGGAAATTTGTAAACAACGCCCACTAGGGGGCGTCCCAGGCTACTAGTATATATATATTTTTTTGTTGGTGTGTGTTTTTTAGCTGGCAGCACTGGCACTTTTGTGTAGTGTTTTTCTGAGGGCTGTGTGTCGTGCTGAATCGAACGTTTTTGATACAAGATCATCTTTTAAAGTATATATTTTTTGGTTTTTATATTTTTCAATATATTTATTTTGTTTGTAAGAAATAAAGAAATAATTTTTAACGATACAATAGTCGCGATTATTATTTTAAAAAGTATACGTTAGGCTTAATATCGACGAAAATTCACCGCGAAGCGACACGTAACGGAGAAAAATTTCAACATAGGATAGGTTAATATATTTTTTCGTACATAATCGGTTATCCGTAAAAAAAGTTATCCGAACAACCTCAGTCCCCAATTGATTCGGATAAACGACGCTATACTGTAAATAAATGTTTCAACGAGTTACAACTTTCTGAGTTACCTTTCTAGGCTTTTTTTTTTTTTTTCTGTTTGGTATGAATATCTTAAAGTTTATCAGAAGTTTTGATTACGGTTTTAAAGTGCATTACAATTTCTTTATATTTTTTTAAATTCTTAGTTCTTCATCTCCTACTAGAGCATCCTAAACAAGGCGGTTTAAGCTGTGGACCAAACATAGTAGATTCCCGATTTTAAATAGCTGCGTACACCTAACATGTCCTCATTGTCCATAGTTATACATACGATTTTATCTTCTAGAGACCGTTTAAAAAAAATCTTTTTTCAACATATTTGCTATATTCTCAGAAGTATGAGCAGTAAACACTATCAGCGTTTCAAGTATGCACGATGTAAATACAGGTATACCTCGCCTTACGTCGGTAATTGGTTCCAGGAAAACGACGTAAGTCGAAAAACGACGTAAGTCGAATTTACCTGTCTCCGAATCTACTTATCACTAGGAAAGCATTTTAAATAATATATGGTTAATAAAAATCTATTTTAAGCTTACAAACAAATAAATTTTAGTTTTTAATATAGTACAAAAAAAATAATCTAAATTTACGAATGCGTGTACTGTAAATACAGTACATATTTGTATATATTTTAATATGATTTTATGTGCTTTAAACGTTTATCTAGTGATATTACGACTTCAATATTTGTGGCGGACAGACGTAAAGTCGAATAAAATGACTTAAACTTGATTTTTATTTTTTCATATACTTTTTTAACAAGCGACGTATAATCGGGAACGACGTAACTCGAAACGACGTAAGTCGAGGTATGCCTGTATATCATAAAAAATAAAATGGCCTGTTAGAAGAAAAAGAGGAAATTCTAACTATTTAAATATCACATTCAACATTTTACAGGCACATAATAACTTAAAAGCAATTACAGGATGATGAGTTAGAGATTGACAAATAAAATCGGTAAATGTAGGATGGCAAGAGTTCAGACAGTATAATTAGATATTGACAGTGATAGTGATTAGTGATGACATGGAGTCTAAAAGAAAGACATGTTACTGATGTTTTAAACTTATATAAACAAAAGAGTAGTAGTAGTCCATCAGTAAATTTTCATTCATATTCTACTTTTAATATTATATAAATTACCAAAATATGTAGAACCAACGTGAGTGTCATAAGAAATGTAATTTCTCATGTCAAAAATACGAAACTATTTCATCCCAAATAATATTTCTCACTATACTGAATCAAGTAAAATTGTATAACACACTTTATGTAGTGTTAAAGTTAATAAATTATTTTAAAAATAGTTCGTCNGTATATAGTTAATCCGTCCGTCCGTCCGTCCGTCTGTATTTAGTTATTCTCGAGAATGGAGTTAGATAGATGAAATCCGAGACCAGATATGGAAACCTTATTTGCAGGAGCCCCGAATTACTATATACTAACTTCCAATACAAACCAGAAGTCATGTTATTTCAATTCAAAACTTTTCCCCTGAAAGCAGCTAATAGATCGGTACAACTCTATTGTTAAAGGAAAAGTATGATGTAAAGGGGCAAGACACTACAAGTCCTAATTTGAGATGGACAGCATATATTTTAAATTAAATAAATTAAAAATTGCACCCCGGCATTGAGACGATGTCACAATAAATAATTGCTCGTTTGCAGATATATACAACTTGACCAGGCCGACGTCATGACGAAGCCGGAATTTTAAAATTCGATCTATGGGCTAAGACGGGTTGGCAACGTATGGCACGCGATGAATAGAATTTATGGACGATTTTCAGTGGCACTCTGATTGAATAGAAATGAGTGAAAATTAAATTTTAATTATTAGTTTTTGAAGTTCATTATAACCGGACCAATTTTGATACTATATATAACAAAATTAATAGAATCATGTCTGCACCCGGAATAACACTATAATTTAGGTTCGGCACAACACCTCTGAAAGGTTGCCGACCCCTGGACTAAAGCTTAGTTCACACTGAGCACGATTTGCTGAGGAAAGCGAAAAATAGAGCGAATAACCCGTCAAAAGAGTCATGTTTGACCAGTTATTCGCTCTGTTTTTCGCTTTCGCCAGCGAATCGCGCTCAGTGTGAACTAAGCTTAAGATATTCGAGGTAAAAATTCTCCATGTAAAGTCTTTAGCCGATTGCCGGTTGTAAGCTGGTCGCGCGCTATATGTGAATCGACAGCAATCGTGCTGTCAATTTACATTGATGTCTACGACAATTTTCGCACAGTTTCAGTTTTTTTTTTTACTCTGCGGAGTCAGTTACATGCGGAACTAGAAAATATCTATCAATAGTTAACATTTCCTGAAATCGAAATCACACACTCAGGATAGTATGTATAACAAATTTAGTTGAGATTTGCCCAATAGTTCTTTCTACAGAGAAATTTTAAACTTAGTCTTTAAATAATCGCGGTTACTTCACTGGAAGCGACTAAATCGCGAATATTCTAATAACGTTTAGTTCTTCCAAATTAGTCTTAACTATTATAAGGCAACTTTATTATTTGTCTCAAGGACTATATACTACAAGGATAGCCAGATCCCTATTCTACAATGTTAGCCAGGAATGCCAAGTTAGTGACGTCAGCACGAGACCTGACCTCTCTGTTTACATAGAGCAGGGTGTGCACGTGTTTAGTTTTCGCTTTTAATATTCGTCCAATTTTGTGATTAACGAAGTGATTTATTTTAATATTTCTGTAATTGTTTTATTTGACTAAGTTTTTTATAAGGTAAGATGATTTAAATATAAGTCATTAAATATTTAAAGCTATATTTTTATGTTAGGTGAAGAACAAAATGCTGAGTACTAGGTGTGCTGTGTATGGTTGCAATAATAACCTTCTTTTTTCAAATTGGAA